TAGAGACGGGGTTTCACCATGTTGACCAGGATGGTCTCGATCTCTTGACCTCGTGATCCACCCGCCTCGGCCTCCCACAGTGCTGGGATTACAGGCTTGAGCCACCGCGCCCGGCCCCTGGAGGTAGTTCTTAAAGTCTAGACTGATTTCCTTGTGTTGGAAGAAAGATTGTTAGGGGAGAAAACTGCTGCTTACTGAATGTTTCCCATGTGTAAGCCCTGTGCTGGGTGCTTGGGAATGTGATGTTATGGGAAGAAAAGGAAGAGAGAGACAAGAGATGATATTCTTACCCAGCCTCACTAGTAACTATGTGACTTCAGGTAGGTTAGTTACCTTCTTTGAGCTTCAGTCTTGTCACATTTAATTGGGATGAACACACCTCTATCATCGGTATCTGGGGTCACAAATTCCAGGTGGGTACATAGAGGAGTGAGGGAGGCCAGGTGGGGTCTGCAGTGTGTGGGAAAGCACACAGCCACTGCTCAAATCCAGCATAGTTGCTGTATGGTGGCGTGGGCCCATTGTGGCCTGATCTTATGATTTCTTTGAGAGAATTGGGGAGTCTGATTTTATGTGATACCCCCCCGACTTCCATTCACTAAAATGTCAGCTCCATGAGGGCAGGGATTCATCTGTTTTATTCTCTGGTATAGCTTGGTCCCATAAGCACTCAAAAGATAGTTATTGAATAAATGAAACTTTCCAATACATGTTGGAAGGGTATTTAAAATGTTTTGAAACCATGCACAGGCCACACCCAGCTTTCAGGACATGGGATTCCAACTTCTGGACTGTATGATGGGGTGATAGTAGGATATGAAAGTATCCTGAGAAATTGAAAGCAGTGTGTGAATGGGATGTTCTTTTCTCCCTACGATCCTTTCATATCAGCTGACAGTAGACTCAGCACCTCATAGATGCTTGGCCCTGGAAATGATGCCATGTACATGAAGCCCTCAGCCTTCTTGGAGATCACAGTCATGGTCCTTACCCACAGCACATGGGTCTCAGTCTGGACCTCAACTTGCCCATCTGTAAAATGGGACATACATTAAATTCCTACAGCTTCTTTCAGCTCGAACATTATTTAAGTTTATTAGGATCATCCTATAAGGCATCTTCTCTTTCCCTGCCCCTGATTCCCTAGACCTGGGAAATTTACTCACTTGGTCCCAGGGGACCTATTTCTCTTATTCTGCCTGCCCTCAGGGGGTGCATTCTCTGCCTCACAAGCCCACATGGCCAAGCAGATGAGAAACAGGGCTCGAAACCTCCCTGTCCTGGTACCCATCTCTTCCTACTGCCACGAACACCAAGGCAGGTTCACGCCAACGGTGTTCTGTTCCTCATGGCAGGCTCCGACACCTGATAAAGAGAAACATCAAATCTGCTGGCTCCCTCTCCTAGAGGGGATGCCTGAGGACCTGCTGAAAGCTTTATCTCTGCTTGTCCTTTGGGTGTGGCTAATGGGTGGGGCTGCGCAGGTGCTTTACAGTAGACACACCTTCAGGCCTCTGCCCCCTGAAGGGTGGGGATGTGGAGGTCACTTCTGCCAGTGGGAGTAGGAGTGGCAAGTTACCCGACCCTCTAGAGTCTCTGTGCCTAGTCTTTTAGATGGAACCCAGGTTAAAGGAAGGCATAGAAAGAAGGAGGGTCAGGCCTTCTCTGCTCCACTTGTCATCTCCCGGGAGGGGATGGGGAAGGAGCAGAGAGTAGCTGGGGAAGGTGGGGAGGGGCTAGGCTCTGTGCCAGAGGAGAGAGATTTGTAAGCCATTTTGGTAAGGATTTTGAGCCGTTTAGGAGGGAGCAGGGCCAGACTCTGTTGCAGAGAAGAGTAGGGTATTTGGGGAAGAAATGGAGATGATTTCCTATGGAATTAGAGGGTCTGTGCTACTGTTCTCAGAGGAGATGGCCAAGACAGAGTCTCCTGGGTTAGGAGTGGGTTTGAGGAGTTTCCGTTCTTGTTTGCAGGAACTTAGGGGGTCAGCCAGGTGAGGAGCTACCTCTGCTATCAAATGGGGGTTGTAGCTTTAGGGGAGGGGCATCTCATGTAGAAGACAAGGTGCCCTGTGCCTGTGGCTGGTCTCTGTGAGGACCTGGACATTGTTTTAGAATGCCACACAGCACTCTGTGGCTCCATCACTTGCTCAGTTGGGCCCGAGTGGAGACACCTCATTGCCCTCCCTGGCCTGCAGGTGAACGTGCTGGCTCTCAGCATCTGCACACGGGAAGCCTACCAGTCCATGAAGGAGCGGAAGGTGGACGATGGGCACATCATTAACATCAATAGGTGAGGGCAGGTGGCCAATGGGTACCACTCACCCTCCAGGCTGGGTAATATGCTGCAGCTTACCTGACCTCTTTGGACCTCAGTTTTCTTGGTGGGAAAATACAGATTTAATACCTAAATGGCACAGTTATGGTGACGGAAAGAATAATGTTGTCAAGTATCAGCCCCAGGTTGGCTGGAATGGGCAGCTCAGCCCCTTCCTTCTACAGCTGAAGCCTGGACCCTCTCCTGGGACTGAGTGCCTCTGTTCCTCAGGCCTGGGGATAAACCCGACTTCATGGCACAAAGAAGGACTATGTACAGTGTCTACCACTGGGGAGCCCCAGTCTGAGGTGGGACATAGCCTCTGCCTGCCCTGAGATGTCCCAGTAGAACCATATCAGTGAACATACAGATTAGATGGAGAGAGTTTTGACATTCTGCACCACCAGGAGAGTGCGTTCTGTGGTCAGCATAGGGACGACTTCCAGGAAAAGGAGGGTTTTCCGAAGCTGCTTGAATAACCAAAATTAGATGAGTGAGCTGTGGGATGGCCACTAGAGGTCCCTGTTAGAAGGCTTCCACTGTGGACATCTGGGTGCTGGGGGTGACCCAGTATGGCAGGGGCACTGCTGGTCTCCCTGGATCTTCATTTTCTCCTCTTTTCCCTTCCTCCCCCCACCCAGCATGTCTGGCCACCGAGTGGTCCCCCAGTCTGTGACCCACTTCTATAGTGCCACCAAGTATGCCGTCACTGCGCTGACAGAGGGACTAAGGCAAGAACTTCGGGAGGCCCAGACCCACATCCGAGCCACGGTGAGGCTGTGGCCTAGCCCTGGTGGGGGCGGGGTAGGCGCAGGCCCTCCCCACCCACACACACCGTTCAGAAACCCATGTTCAGAATGTGCTGCTTAGAGCTCCTCAGAGTGGACTGGGCACAGAACTGGGCGCTGCTGCTCTCGGCATGGCCCTGCACAGCCCTTCAGTTTCCTTATTTCACTGAGCCAGGAGCCAAAGACCAGACTTAGACTTTGAGCTGGGAGGGGGGTGACCTGAGCATACACGGTGGGAAAGTAAGGGACTGTGGGAAACCAGGTGCACACTGGCTAGAAACTGGGACTCTGGGCTCTTTCCTTGAAGGCCATGTGATTGTGAGTCACTGAACCTCCCTGAGCCTTGGCCTTCACTTGTAAAAAGGAGATAATAAGTGTCCCTTAAAAGGGACACTTTTTTGTAAAATGTTTACCTGACATACAGGAAAGGCTCTGTAGATGGTAGGTATCATGTGGTCTCTGCCAGCGGCAGCTTTGGAGGGAGGAGGCAGCTGCCGGATTCTGGGAAGCCATCACTGTGAAGCTGGGGCCCTGTGGCCTCCATCCTCTCCCCTTAACCTCCCCAAGGCCTGGCAAAGCTCAGCCCCTGAGCAGGCCCTCTCTGTTGGCCCAGTGCATCTCTCCAGGTTTTGTGGAAACACAGTTCGCCTTCAGACTCCACGACAAGGAACCTGAGAAGGCAGCTGCCACCTATGAGCAAATAAAGGTGGGGCCTCCCTCTGGGCCTGGTGAAGCCACTGACTCCCTAAATGAAGGCACAGGGAACCCGGCCTTCAGACTCCACCCCTTCAGCCTTTTTGGCTCCTCCTGGAGGGTTGGGTGGGTGTGTGGATGCTGCAGAGGAGGTCAGTGGTGGGAGGGAACTGAGTCTATTTTGTCCTTTCTCAACCCATTCCCCCGGTGCTCTCAGTGTCTCCAACCCGAGGATGTGACCGAGGCTGTTATCTACGTCCTCAGCAGCCCCCCACACGTCCAGGTGAGTCTGGCCCTGACTATCCACTCACTGGAGGAACCCAACCAGCTCCAGAGGAAGGAAGCAGGGAGCCCTGCAGGGCCAGGGAGAGTGTCCCAGGGCCTCATACCTTGTGCCTTCCACAGATCGGAGACATCCAGATGAGGCCCACGGAGCAGGTGACCTAGTGACTGTGGGAGCGCTTCCTTCCCTCCCCACCCCTCATGGCTTGCCTCCTGCCTCTGGATTTTAGGTGTTGATTTCTGGATCACTGAATACCACTTGCTGTCCACACCCCGGCCAGGGGTTAGAAAATTTGTCTGAGATTTTTATATCCGCTTGTCAAATTGCTTCCATTGTAAATGTGAAAAAAAGGGCTGAGGAAAGGAGGTGGTGTCCCTAATTGTTTTACTTGTTAACTTGTTCTTGGTCCCCCTGGGCTCCTTGGCCTTTTTCTGCTCTCAGTCTCTTCCCTTTGACCTGGGAAACGGGTTGTGGCCAAAATCCCCCCCATCTTCTTGCACCTCAACCTCTGCGGCTCAGGGCTGGGGTGGCAGAGGGAGGCCCTCACCATATATCTGCGTGGTTATCCAGGGTTCCAGACTTCCTCCTCTGCCTGCCCCACTGCCCCCTCTCCCCCTTCTCTTCCTCCTTCTCAGCTCTCCAGCCCAATTTTGGCTTCTTGTCCCCTTGTGGGGTCATCCCTCCACTCTGACTATGGCAGCAGAACACCAGGGCCTGGCCCAGTGAATTTCATGATGATCATTAAAACAGAAAAATCGCAACCAATCTGCCTTGGCTTCAGGAGTGTCTTTCCATTCTTTCCCATTCTCTGTGATCAGGGGTGCTTGTTTTTCAGAATTTCTTCCAGGTAGGTGGGAAGCTGGGTGGATTAGGGGGCCTCACTCATGGGAGTATGGATTACCTTAAGTAGCAGGAATGCATCTGTTTGGGCCTTGAAAATGTGTAGGAGTTTGACAAAGACAAAGAGAAAACAGTCTGTAAGACCGAGAGGCCTGGAAGAGCATGCAGTGCTGTGCGAACAGCACAGAACTTAAGCGCAGGAGCAAGATGGGGCTGAAGAGGCAGCTCCTTCCGGCCTTCCTGGATCACTGGGGGTGTGAGTGCTGCGCAAAAGAGTCTGGCCATTACCTGTGGGACGGGGGCATCAGTGGGCTTGTCAGCAGGGACACGACAGGCTCAGAGTCACTTGAGAATCAGCGGCCCGGGATAGGAAGTGACTGTTGGGGTCCTCCTACGGGCTAGTGAGAAGTTCTGGGAAAAATCACCAGCGCCGGGATGTGGGGAGGGAGGCAAAAGACTGAACTGGTTGACCAGGAAGGCCAAGCCATCTACTTAAAGTGACCTTCGCTGGTGCGTGGGTGAAGGCAGTCCCCAGCCTCCCGGGACCTCGAAAGGCACAGGACGCAGCCAGTAGTAGGGCCAGCTCAGCCTGCAGCACCGCTTCCTGCGCGCGCCGCGATGCGGTGGAACTCGTGCCTCCTCTAGCCCTGTAGGAGGTGCTATGGGATCAGCCTGGCGACCGCGCATGCGCAAAAAAACCCCCTCCACGAAGGGCACGGGGCCTCCCGAACCCGGAAGCGAATGAACTCACGTGGGAGCCTGGGAGGGGTGTTTGTAGCTTGGTAGTCTAGTTGCAGGTAATCTGGGCTGTTTGTTCCTGTCCGAGAGAGCTCGGCAGAGGCAGCTGTCGAGTACCCTTCACCCTTGTGTTGGGAGCCTGCGAGCGAACTCTGGCGGGGGTTACCCCTCCCGGGGACGCAGCAGGGGGCGAGTCCCCGGCTGGAGTGTGCCATGGGACTGCTCTCAACCGTCCGGGGCGCGACCTGGGGTCGCCTCGTCACCCGTCATTTCGCCCATGCAGCGCGGCGTGGGGAGCGACCTGGTGGGGACGAGCTAAGCCGCTTGTTGTTGGATGACCTGGTGCCGACCTCGCGGCAGGAGCTTCTGTTTGGCCTGTCCCCTTGTCTCCTGGCTCTGCGGGCCGCCCGCCGCTACGTGGCCCGGCTCCTGCTCCAGGCGGGTAAAGCTGGGCTGCAGGGGGAGCGGGCTGAGTTGCTCCGTATGGCTGAGGCGCGGGACATTCCGGTTCTGCGGCCCAGACGGCAGAAACTGGACGCAATGTGTCGCTACCAGGTCCACCAGGGTGTCTGCATGGAGGTGAGCCCGCTGCGGCCCCGGCCTTGGACTGAGGCCGGGGAGGCGAGCCCAGGCGACGACCCCCAGCAGTTGTGGCTCGTCCTCGATGGGATCCAGGATCCCCGGAATTTTGGGGCTGTGCTGCGTTCCGCTCACTTCCTCGGAGTGGATAAGATCATCACCAGCCGGAGAAACAGGCACGGACGTCCCTCTTTTCCATGTGCCCCAACTTGGAGACGCAGCCGAGTTCCTAAGCACCTTGACCCTTGGGTGATCCCTTAGCCAGACTTAAATGTCCCAGAACTCTCACCCTCCTAGCCCTTGGGAGCCCGGGGAGGGTAGGGAACCGGGCTTGAGATGGTCCATCCTAATGCGGGGAACGGGGAAACCTTGCAGCTGCCCGCTCACTCCAGTAGTCAGCAAGGCCAGCGCGGGGGCTATGGAGGTGATGGACGTATTCTCCACTGATGATCTCACTGGATTTTTACAGGTAATGAGGGGCAAAAGGGGAAAGAGCAGATATGAGTCCAGCGCAACCTCTTCAAAGGGACGCAGCTAGCAGTTGGTGGGGGAGAGAAAGGGGCATGTTGACATCGCTTCCTTCGGCCTTCTAAATCCCTCTGGGGACGGAGGGGTTCTGGAGTTTTTAAAACGACAGATGGAGTACTATCTGAATTCTCCTAGCGCTGTTCCGTTTCCTGCACCCCTTCCCCAGGTATACATCACTTTGCCTCTTCTGTAAGGTAGCCTCAGTGTCTCCTTGCCTACTAGGTCGGGCTTCAGTAAATGCATTTTGTTCAGCTGTGGGGAGCTGGTGGACAGGAGGCCTGAGTTCATCCAATAGGGACACAGCTTGAAAGGATCTTTGAACAAGGAGACCTTTATGCCGTTAATATCTAGCAAGCGACAAACCTTGGAAACTCATCTCCCAGGCGTCTTCAGCTGTGCTTCCCTCGCTGGACACAAGGGGGCAGTATTGCTCCGCATATGGAATCCCCTCTGACCAAAGCGCTTCCCAGTCCCACCCCATCTGCGGGTGAAAAATTTCCCTCTTAAGAAGCGGGAGAGCTCTGGGACGCGTCTAGAACAGTGCTATCCAATAAAAATATAGTGAGAGCCACGTATGTAGTTTTAGCTTTTCTAGTAGCTACATTGAAAAGTAAAAAGAGACAGATGACATTTTAAATAAATTGTATCTAGTATATCCAAAATAATATTAATTTAACATGTAATCGTTTTAATTATTGTTAATATTAATTTTTTGAGAGGGAGTTTTCACTCTCATTACCCAGCCTGTAGTGCAATGGCTCAATCTCAGTTCACTGCAATCTCTGCCTCCTGGGTTCAAGGGATTCTCCTGCTTCAGCCTCCCAAGTAACTGGAATTACAGGCACATGCCACCACTCTCGGCTAATTTTTTTCTTGTATTTACTAGAGATGGGGTTTCACCATGTTGGTCGGGCTGGTCTTGAACTCTTGACTTTAAGTGATCTGCTTGCCTTGGCCTCCCAAAGTGTTGGGATTACAGGCGTGAGCCACCGTGCCAGCCTTTTAAAAATATTAATGAAATATTTTACATTCCTTTAAAAATTCTTTTACATACAATGCATCTCAGTTTGAATTAGCCACCTTTCAATTGCTTAATAGCTGCATGTAGCTAGTGGCTACTATATTGAGCAGCATATCTCTAGAAGCATTTTTTGGCTTCCCCTTTATGTAGGGAGCCCCTTTCTCCAAGCCTGATAGGAGATGAGGTTCCTTTTCTTCACTCTCAGCTCCTGACCAGGTAGTTTCTGAAAACACAGAAACACTGCAGAACACCTGCGTAAGTTCCAGTCATCACATCTCCCTACTGTCATCAGCATCTGGCTTGGAGAGTGTCGTCCGCCTGTTGCTATGGAAGAGCCGGAGGTGCCCCACGCAGGGACCTGTGCTGGGGCCCCGTCCCTTTCTGCCTACTCAGAGACACTACTCTAGCAATTTTCCTCCCCTCTCCTGCATTATCCACTTTTCTCTTACGCTCTCCTCAGCATGCAAACAAACATCCCCCTCTCACTCTCTTGATCTCATAGCAATCAGCCCCTCCTGTCACACTGAATCCAAGGCCTTGTCAAGGTCACCAGTGGCCTCCATGTTGCTGGATTCCAGGGTCCGTGCTCAATTCTCATCTGACTTGACTCATCTGCAGCATCTGGCACAGCTGGCCACTCCTTCCTCCTTGAAACACTCTTCGCCTCCTTTCCTTCGCTTCACCTTGTCCTCTCTGAGAGACATTTTTAGTGGTTCCTCCTCAACCCCCTGATGTCCGAGTATTAGCATGTCCTGGAGTTTAGTCCTAGGATGTTGTTTTGTTGTTAAGAGATGGGGTCTTGGCTGGGCACAGTGGCTCACGCCTGTAATCTTAACACTTTGGGAGGCAGAAGCCGGTGGATCACCTGAGGTCAGGAGTTCGAGACCAGCCTGGCTGATATGGTGAAACCCCGTCTCTACTAAACCCAGGAGGCAGAGGTTGCAGTGAGCCAAGATCCACCACTGCACTGCAGCCTGACAGAGCAAGACTCTGTCTCAAAAACCAAAAAAAGTTAGGTTTGAAATGCCCACCTAACAGCAAAACAACAACAACAGCTGTGGAGCAGACCAGTAGAGGAGTGAATCTGGAACTCAGAAGCACGGTCCAGCCTAGAATATACAGTTGGTGGGGGTGGGGGGTGGGGAGGGGTCGGGACTTGAATTCAGATAGTATTTAAAGCCATGAGATTAGATGAGACCAGCAAGAGATGAACAGATACGGAAAAGAGATCCAGGGCCAGGTGAGGTGACTCACGCCTATAATCCCAGCACTCTGGGAGAATAAGCAGGAGGACTTCTTGAAGCCAGGAGTTTGAGACCAGCCTGTGCAACCTCGTCTTTACAAAAAAGAAAAGCAAAAGAAAAAAATTGGGTGCAATGTTGTGCACCTATATCCTCAACTACTCAGGAGGCTGAAGTGGGAGGACGGCTTGAGCCAAGGAACTCGGACACTGTATTGAGCTGTGATTGTGCCACCATACTCCAGGCTGGGCAACACAGCAAGACCCCATCTCTCTTTTTTTTTTTATTTTTTGAGATGGAGTTTTGCTCTTCTTGTTCAGGCTGGAGTGCAATGGCGCAATCTCAGCTCACTGCAACCTCCGCCTCCCGGAATGCAGCAACATGGAGGCCACTGGTGACCTTGACAAGGCCTTGGCTTCAGTGTGACAGGAGGGGCTGACTGCTATGAGATCAAGAGAGTGAGAGGGGAACTCAAGCAATTCTCCTGCCTCAGGATCCCAAGTAGCTGGGATGACAGGCACCTACCACCACACCCAGCTAATTTTATATTTTTAGTAGAGATGGAGTTTCTCCATGTTGGTCAGGCTGGTCTCGAACTCCTGACCTCAGGTGATCCACCCACCTCGGCCTCCCAAAGTGCTGGGGTTACAGGTGTGAGCCACCAAGTCTGGCTGAAGATTTTTTTTTTTTTTTTTTTTTTTTGAGATGGGGGTCTCACTCGTCACTCAAGCTGCAGTGCAGCGGCACAATCTCAGCTCACTGCAACCTCCGCCTCCCGGTCTCAAGAGATTCTTGTGTCTGAGCCTTTTGTGTAGCTGGCAGTATAGGTGCCCACCACCAGGCCCAGCTAATTTTTGTATTTTTAGTAGAGATGGGGTTTTACCATGTTGGCCAGGCTAGTCTTGAACTCCTCACCTTGGTGATCTGCCTGCCTCGGCTTCCCAAAGTGCTGGGATTACTGGCTTGAGCCACAGTGCACGGGCTCTGATGAAGATTTGATGAATTAGAATATGATGGCCAGGCGCGGTGGCTGACCACGGCAGGAGGATTGCTTGAACCCAGGAGTTCCAGACCAGCCCGGGGAACATGACGAAACCCCATCTCAGAAAAAAAAAAAAATGAAAAAACTAGCTGGGCATGTTGGCAAGTGCCTGTAGTCCTAGCTACTCGGGAGGCTGAGATGGGAGGATCACCTGAGCCCAGGAAGTTGAGGCTGTGGTGAGCTGTGATTGTGCCACTGCACTCCAGCCTGAGTGACAGAGTAAGACCCTTTCTCAAAATTAAAATAAAAAAAGAATTAGAAGATGATATCAGGGCCGGGTGTGGTGGCTCACACCTGTGATCCCAGCACTTTGGGAGGCCGAGGTGCGTGAGTCACCTGAGGTCAGGAGTTTGAGACCAGCCTGACCAACATGGCAAAGCCCCATCTCTATTAAAAATACAAAAATTAGCCAGGCATGGTGGCACATGCCTGTAATCCTAGCTACTTTGGAGGCTGAGGCAGGAGAATCGCTTGAACCCAAGAGGCAGAGATTGCAGTGAGCCAAGATTGTGCCATTGCACTCCAGCCAGGGCAACAGAGTGAGACTCTGTCTCAATGTCTCGAAACAAAAGATAGAACACCATATTTTCTTCCCCCTTTCAGACCAAAGCCCAGCAGGGCTGGCTTGTGGCCGGCACGGTGGGCTGCCCAGAGCCTAAAGTTCTCCAGTCCTCCGAGATCCCCATCAGGAGCTCCTTGGAGTTCCTCTGGGATCGGCCTACTCTCCTTGTGCTGGGTAAGTGGATGTCCCTGCTTTTCTTTGCCCAGATTACATTTCCCGAGCAACTGGGTGTCCAGCTGGGCAGCCCTAAACCTTGGCCCCATGCCCTGCAGGGAATGAGGGCTCAGGTCTGTCCCAGGAGGTGCAGGCCTCCTGCCAGCTGCTCCTCACCATCTTGCCCCGGCGCCAGCTGCCTTCTGGATTTGAGTCCTTGAACGTCTCTGTGGTTGCAGGTGCGTCTTGTCCCCCTTCCCTTTCCTCTCCCCCTAATCACACAGGTGGGATTGGATTCCCTCCAATCGCATTTGCCAGCTCTCTCTGTGCCTTAGTTGCTTTATGTGCAAATTGGGGAAAATACATCCTGTTGATGAAATGAGGGGCTGCCTGGCACATGCCTAGTCTCCAGACATCCTCCTCCTTCGTCTCTCTTCCTGTTCCTTGTGTCTGTGCAGGAATTCTTCTTCACTCCATTTGCAGCCAGAGGAAGGGTTTCCCCGCAGAGGGGGAGAGAAGGCAACTTCTCCAAGACCCGCAAGAACCCTCGGCCAGGTCCGAAGGACTCAGCGTGGCTCAGCACCCAGGGCTGTCTTCAGGATCAGAGAAAGAAGCAAAATGAGGGCTGAGGCGGACTGTCCGCGACGTGCACGTGCTGGGGTCAGGGACTGCCGCGCCTGCATCGCCTGCTCCAGTGTGTGGGAGTCTCTGCCTGAGTGTGCACCAGGCCCATGTCTATTGACCACAGTCTGCGGGGGGAAGGGGACTGCTGTGGAGGCCAGAGGAAGCTGTTTCCTGTTGTGATGTTGGACCTGTAGTAGGATATGGTAGTTTGTTGATTTCCATGATGGGCTAGCATGGAGGGAATCTGTCCTCCCAGGCCCTGCCTGGAAGTCGGGGGGAGGTCTAGACACCTGCAGGGAGGCAGGCAGCCCAGCCCAGGGACCCTGTTCCTCTGGAACCGGTCGTTGCCCGTGGCGAATGTGTGTGTGAGAATG